ATCTGCAGGGAGTTTTGCATCCCAGATATTAATAACAAACTACCCAGCAAGGTAGGCCCTTCTTTCCACCTTCAAAAGGATGGAGGGGAGGAAGAACTTGTCTGTGGTTGAGCACAAGACTATGAATCAGAGAATCAGAGTCCATATCCCAGCTCTGCCACGGAGCAGGTCCCTGGATTTCAATACACCCCGATGTCCACAGGCAACTGTCCCATAAAGCATCCCCTGATTTCAACTGCAGTCACAGTGCTCAGCATCTTTGGGAAAAGCCAGTCTGTGTCTGTAGGACAGGGCTAAACACCTCCCCACCTTCCAGAGGCACCGGGATGCTAAAATCCATTAGCAAAGTGCCTTCAGACGTGTGGGTGGAAAGCACCAAACAAGGTCAGAGCGTTATTAATGGCACTGAAAAACGAGCCACCAGTGATTCCAGATCTCAGATGCAGCTGGCCCACTTTAATTTCTCACATCATTTGTCTACAGGACATTGGCTGTGAAGACCTGAGATAACCCACCCTGTTACCTCAAAGCAACTGTTGAAAGTCCCACATAAATTAATAAGTTGAAGTTTCCTTGGACAGTGACTGTCAGAGCAGGGAGAAGAGTTAGACAAGGAGGTCCTGAGGGAAGGGAACCCTCTTGCAGAGAGCAGGGCAGTAACACACTGGTTTTAGAAGGGGGGAATTCTTCAACAGACCCAGCTCAAAAGGCTTTCTAGGAAGCCTGTTAGAAAGAGATATTTATCCTTATTACATTCCCTGATTGGTGTAAACCAAAGAAAACAAAGAACAGGAGTAAAGAACCAACAGCAAAACTGAAGCTGTGCTGAGCCCTGCTCAAGGACATCAGTGCCTGCTTGTCTGTCTTAAATATTGTCAGGTCTCACAGCAGGAGCACCTTCACATCGATCTGATTAATGGTAATGACAGGTCTGATAAACAAATGACAGCCTGTCTTGCAAGGGTCAGCCTTTTGCTGGAATGAAAGTGCATGGCATATTTGGATATGGAGCACATGCAGATCCTGCTCAGCCCTGCCAGCACAGCTCACACAAAACCTTTCAGCTTTATTTCCAAAGGGACACGTTCTCTCTCCCAGCACTGAAAACAGCTCAGTGCTTGAGAGCAGGAAGGGCTTGGAGAGGAGCTCTCATTCCCTGCTCTGGAAGGAGAGATTCCCTCCTGCATTCCCTCCCTGGCACCCAGGCTGTGTCAGTGGTCCTGCACACCACTTCCCTGATGGAAAAGCCATCGGGGATTCAGCAGCTGTGCCTTTTCCTCCTCCAGCTGCAGATCAATGCTCAGCCCTGTGTGCTGGGCTACAACACTCCCACCAGGCACACAAGCCCTGGCATCTCCCAAAACCATCAGCCCCAGCTCCCTGTGTGTATTCCAGAAGGCAGTATTATCCCAGGGATTAGCTCCAGACACCTGGCTCTCCAGAACAGCTCTCTTCAGAGCCAGCTACAAAAACAAACCATCCAGTATTTCCTAAAGGCTGAACGCTGAGGAGACCAGGAATTAAACCAAACCAAGCCTGGTGAGACCACAGCAGCACCTGGGGAGGATCACCACATTCCAGCCAGGGAAAGCTCCCTTTCCAACACTTCCAGCCCTTCTCCTGGTCCCACTCGATGCCTTTCCCTGGCAAAACTCAAGCCCTGCTCTCAGGGTTACCCAGATCAGTCCCTGCCCAGCTCTGGCCAGGATCCCAAACCATCAGGAGGCAGATGTCCCTCTCCACGCTGCCAGCAGCGAAGGTGAAAGTTTATTACTGTCTCTTTGCATTTCCCTTGATATAAACAGGAAACAACCAGCATTAGACTCCCTGGCTGAAAAGCCAAACCAGATAGGCAAGGCAGAAGATGCTCTTTTTTTTCCATACACACCCTTTTCCCTCTCATTCACATACAAATTACTGCTGCATCCAGGTGGGAGGAGAGTTTGAAGAGGGGAGGGGGGGGGAAAGAAACGTTTGCCAAATAGGCTGAGGGATCAGAAGGAGCTTTCTCATAAAGCACAGGGCTGACCCACAAACTGCAAGAAAACCTCAAACTCTGCAGAGAGTTTCCCTCCTCCCCGTTTGCAGGGTGAGAGCAGCCACGGCAGGGAATTGGTAGGCAAGGAAGGGGTCTAACCAGGTCACTCCACCCTTCTCTTCCCGCCTGGAGCACAACATGGGAGGGAAGCAGACCTGAAATGTAGGCCATCTACAAAGACTGGGGGAGAGGCTTAAACGATGTGAGATTTATGATCTTCAAAGTGATTAGCGCCCAGCACTCCAAATAAAGTCAAAGGCAGCTCAGCAGCTCCTGCAGTCAGGTTGGAGTTGGGTTTCAAACCATCCTTCTCTGGCTTCGGGTTGAAAACTTGAATTGCAAGCTAACGAGAAAAAAAAAAGCCACCCAAAGCCAACCTCAAACCCCAAACCAAATTAAAAAACCCACCAACCTCCACCCCTAATGAAAGAGCTCAGCACCTGATTTCACATGAAAACACTTTGATATTTCCATCTCTCCTCTCTTCCTTTTTTCTCGTCATTTGAAATCTATTTGCTGAATTGAGGGTGAATTCACCAACAGCTGAGGTCAACCCAAAATGTGAGTGTGGAACCCGTGTGCATTCGGGCTCATGCTCATTTAAGATAATAATTTAAAATAATAATAATTACTATTATTATTATTTTAAATAACAATAATTCAAAATAATAATTATTATTTTAAATAATAATAATAATAATTTTAAATAAGTCTCCACGTGGCCTTGAGAGAGCCAAGAGAGGGAGACAAAGAGCCACCTGCACAGCCCTGTGTCCACTCCTGGACTGTTACATCCCCATCCCTGACATCACTGCAAAACCCCATGGGCAGGCACTGTTCTGGGGCCTTGGACCAGATTAAAAACAAAATGAAACAATAAAATGAGCCTGGCCACAGCCTTTTGCTTTTTAAAACCCTGTGAAATCCCCAGTCAGGTTTGCTACTCACTTACAGGGAGGTGCTGGCACAAATGAACGAGGTTTTGTGTCGCCCCTCTGTTTTTAAGGAAAAAAAAAAATATAAAGCACTAGCGGGAAGCGAATGCTACAAAAACCCCTCAAATTTCTTTTCAGAAATGTGACAAAACAAATGTTGGCAACCAGAACCACAACTTGTTTTTAGGAGGAAGATGTTTCTACCAAGCCAACTCTACTGACAGCAAGCCTGGTTTCCTCTCCCCCCACCCCAACTTCACCAGCATCGTTCAGTGACGTGCAGAGGAGCAGGACCCTAAAAACAGTGGGTCAGATCACACCACAGTCAATTGAGTCTCCTTGATTAACCCCAGCTTCCAGCTCCAACATCTTTGTGGTGCTGTTGCCATAGGAAAAGTTTGCACCGTGGAAGGATCTCGTGCTTATTTCTATCTGGAGGGAATTTTCTGTTATCGCTGCTTCCGAGCAGATTGGATTCTTCTCCTGGCGCGTGGAAAGCCTGTGCTCTGGGCTCTGCAATCCACAGAGCTGGAGACACAAGGCTTTTTTTGTTTTCAGCTGGGTATTCCAAAAACCTGGAAGATGGCTGAGCGTGTTAAGACACCTTTGATGGGAAGTTACGACCCACCCAGAGCCGGAGCAGCCAAGCCAAACAAACAAACAGCAGCTCGCTGACATGTGTCAGGCAAGAGCCACGGGGGCAAAGCTTGCAGGGCAAAAAAAAAGCCACACTGAGAAGGCCCAGCTGTCCCCCTGCTGCAAGCAGGGAGCCTCTGGAAAGGGATGTAAGCCTTGAGCTCAGGGAGTGCAGAGCTGGGAGCAGGGAGGTTGCTGTGCTGCCAATATCTGCTGCGAGCGCTCGTGGCTGTCCGTGGAGTTACAGCCCCTGGTGCTTCCCTGGCTCCAGCTCCCCATCCAACCCCCAGAGTCCTGCAGCAGCTCAGGGGGTTGGCTCTTTTTCCTCTTTTGCTTTACAGGTTTTGAGCCCAGCCCTGGTGGCCACGGGAGCCCTCAGCTCTGGACTCAGAGAGCGTTTTCATGAGATCCCAGAATGGTTTGGGCTGGAAGGAACCTTAAACACCAGATTGTTCCACCCTCCTGCCACAGGCAGGGACACCTTCCACCAGCCCAGGTTGCTCCAAGTCCCATCCAACCTGGCCTTGGACACTTCCAGGGATGGAGCAGCCACAGCTTCTCTGGGCAACCTGTGCCAGGGTCTCCCCACCCTCACACGTGTCTGCACAGATTCAAGAGCTCCAGAGGGCTGTCACCTTCTGAGGTGACACCCAGCGATTCCTTAGAGCCACAAATGAAAACCTCCAGCCACTCAGTGCATCATTTTTAGCAAAAAAAACACAACTCAGGGGTTATTTTTAGCTGCACAAAGCAGGAGAACAGCGAACACAGCAGAGACAACAGTCCCTCCTGTGCTCACTGGCAACTGGGGCTCACTTGCCCCACGAGCAGCACTGCTTTCATCTGCTGTCCCTTTCCCCACTGCCTTGCAAAGAGGAATCTGGGGTAGTAGGCAGGCCTGGTCTTGACCTACACACTCCAAGACCTCAAACCACTTCATCTTTTTAGTCCTTGCTGATACTCCTGTGAGTCAGCCCTGTACCTTTGGCCTCGCACATCACAGCACTCCCAGTGTCACAGTGCACGGGGCTCTGGGGAGGGATTTGCACATCTGCCACTCTAACTGAGGTGCCTTTTGTTTCCAAGCAATAATAGAAAAAAAAAATAAAAATTAAAAGGTCAGCAAAACCCTCAAGCAAGTGGTCATTTAAAGAAACTCTGTAATTAGCTGAACTTCTATGAAATAGGAAGAGGGAAAGCAGAGGTGTGATCTGTCATTCTATCCCACAAGGGGAATTGGGAAGAAGTTCTGTGGTCTGTTTGATGGCAGCTTCTGCCCTAACAGTTTTTATCTCTCAGCAGGAGCTGCCTGGGACTTGGCATGATGAGCAATTAAAAAACAGTCATCCAAGAAAGCAGGAGAATACCTGGTAACCCAGGGAGAGTCTTACCTGCCTGTTAAAGTCCAGCCCATTCTGTTCATTGCCTACAAGGAAACAAACAGAAAAATATCTCAGTATTGATGACAGTGAGCACTGGTGGGAGATTTCCAGAACTTAGAACACATGGAAGCAAAGCCATGGGGCTGGCTCAGCTCAGAGCAAGGAGAGGAGGAGGAAGGGGGAGTCACTGGGAGCGCAGCAGTGGAAGGATGAAATCAGCTTTTACAACATTTAATGGTATCAGCCTTTGCTGAAGGATAATAGAAGTGTTTCTTCCCGGGAGATACCTGGCCAAGCAGCAAAGGGTGGGGGAAATCTCCCTGAGTGCAAGGGAGATTCCAGCAGGGGTGAGCTGGAGGACATCACAGATCTCCAGGGAAAGCCGGGACTAAGGCACTGCACGTAATGAAGCCTGGACCAACTGTGGGAAAGGCCAGCAAACAGGTGGCCAGGGCTGTTAGCCTGGGATCTTCAGGAACCCGTGTGGCACTGGGTAATTACGGGATATCTGAGGGAACAGAGGGTGCCGTGGGGTTGTGCTCAAGAGGCGTCTCCTTGATTCCAAAAGAGATTGGCAGGCACAGGGGGAAAAAATCAGACAGGTTTCAGCCTGAAGGTACCGCACAGGCCCTCACTCATTCCCCTTTGATGATAAACATCCCCCCCCCTCCATCACACCTGCCAAATTCATCAAGAACATCACAGAGGAAAGGTTGTGCTCTCCACAGATATGAATGCTTTAAGGGATTCCACGAAGCTCTTTAGCTGCAAAGGCAACCCCAAGAAACCCCTTCCCTTTGCAATACATTCCCCAAGTCATTCTCTTCCAGTCCAACTGAGCTTGTGATAAACAGCCTTAAATTGTTCACATCCCACCAACACAAGCCCTCGGGGGCTCCTCCTGCTGTTTTTTCCAGTATAACGTTCCCCAGAAAGCAGAGCCCGTGCCCTGTGATCTGATCAAGCTCCAACACATCGTGTTTCTCAGCAGTTCACGTCTCCTGCAAAAAGTTGGAAAGCTGCTGGGAGAGGCTGTGCAGGCAGGAGTGCAAATGCAGCTCTCCCATGGACTTGCTTTCCTCAGCTGAACGAGCCTTTGCCCTAACCCAGCCTGCAGTTTTCCATGCACACAACATTCCCAGGTGAATCAGCGTGGCCCTTTGAGATCCTCAGGGGGAGTGTGCTTGGTACAATTACTCATGGATGGCAAAATATTTGAGAGGCAACGATAACAGTTTCATGGCAGCCTCTCGTTCTCTGCTATCTAGAAACAGCTCTGGAGATTTAATCTGAGACATTTAACAGCACTGGCTGTGGAAACTGAGCTGCAGGACTTTGCCACAGCACTGTTTAACAGCAGAACAAGCTGTTGCCCCCATCAACTCTGAGATCTCCTCTATCTCCTCACCATCTGCACCTCAACCACGATCCAGCTCCGTGCCCTCTCCCCCAGCCTGGCTGCATTTCTGCTCTGCTCCAGCCTGCCCTCGCTTCCTGCCTTCCCCCCGACCTGCTCCTCAAAGCTTTCTCTCTTCCCAATCTCAGGGCTTTATCTCCTTCCATGCAATCCCCTGCTCCTGCTACAACCTCCAGCTTGCCACGTGCTCCCCCCTCCTGCCTCTCCGTAGCCATCTGCTCCCTGACCACCTCTCTCCAGCTGCTCCCGCCCCGGGAATCGGGGTTCATTCATTGCCTTCCAGCCAACAACTGCACAGCCACCGATGGGAATGCTGATAGTGCTAATGGATGATCACAATCAGCATCCACACACCTGAGCAGGACTCCAGGAGGATCTTCAAGGCCTGCAGTTTCTACCTTTGAAACCCACGGGGAAGGAGGGGAGGGGGGGGTGTTGATGCAATCTGAAGGCAGTAGCTAAAGGGAAGAAAAGCGAGGAGAGAAGGAGGAAATAAAGTTCCCAGTTGCTAAAATAGAACAGGAAGGAAAAGGTAATCTCCTGGTTTCTTGGATACAGGAGTTTCACTCACGGTTCAAGTGCAGCATGTTGATGAGGCAACATTCAAAGGCCTTGAGGGAGATCCCGAGGTCCCGGTGAAGGTGTCTGAGTCACCACCATACACCCCAAAACTTGGAACCTGGGATGTGCAGCTGGAACAGTTTCCCTGCACATCGCTACCACCAGGCCCAAGTTCTCCTGCACGGTCTTTCCTCCTCTTCCAAGCTTCCCATCTCTTACTTTTTCCAGACTTTGACCTGCCTTTGCCCCTTCCTCTCCTCCAAGGTCAGACACAGCTTCCTCCAAGTTCTACCCACCGAGGGTCAACGGGGGGGGATCGGGGGCACCTCAGCCAGGAATTCTGTGACTGCAAATATTCCTGGAGACTGACACTAACTCAGCGGTAACTGGGGTGTCTCAGTCTGAGAGAACTGCCCCGGGGTGCCTCGGGAGACAGTGAGGAGCAATAGGCACCTCCAGAGGCCATTCATCCCACCTATCTCAGACACCATCTCCAGCTGAGATGAATGGCCCTCTGGAGATGACTATTCCTCTTAATTGACTCCCAAGGGACCCAGGGGCAACTAGTTCGGGCTTAGATGTCCAAGAGTGAGATATTTAAAACTGGGCGAGGTGATTCCTGCTCCCAGTGGTTATGGAAATGGGAGCTGGATACACAAATCTCTTCAAGGCTTCAGCAGGACCAGCCAGTGTTTGTGCACAGATTTATTTGCAAACAAATCTGGTCTTTTTCTACTTCAGTTAATGTAAAGTTAAAGTGATTCCAGCTGCCAGGCAAGGTTTGGGTGTGATAGGGATAACAACTTTCCCCTTTCAGTTAAATCAGTAACTTTGCTGCAAATATTTTAAAAATAGACTCGGTTTCCTCCCAGTTTCTGTCAACATCAGGACTCACACTGCAGTAGTCATCTCTCCTGAAAGGAACGGGCTGTTCAAACACTCTGCACTTAAGATTTTATCTTTTCTAGCTCCAGGAGATAAAAAGAAAGAAAAGTGTAAGTGGCAGCAGATTCTCTCCTGCTGTAAACTGCCAGAACTCCACTAATTTTAATGGAGCTTCAGCCCAGCCAACAACTTGCCTCTTGCTACACCAGCCAGACACAATGGGATCCAAAATCTCCAGCATCTGCAAGATGCAGTCCTGCCCTCCCTGAATTGCATCAAACCGGGGGAAGCCCTGAGATTTAAACCGGGCAAGGCTGCCCTGAGCTCCTGCACTACGATTCCCAGGAGCTTCCCCACAAACAAGGCTCTTTCTGGGTGTTCCGGACGGGGAAGGGGAGGGGGGGAAAAGCAGCGATAAGCTCGGCTTAGCACGGCAGACCAGGACTGTGCAGCTCTCCTTGGTTCACCTGGCAGCTGTTTTGCATAGCACTGGCATCAGATCTGGTGCGAGTTTGCCTGGGGAGGTTTCTCTGGGGATGGGAGAAGCAGAACAGTTCCGGACAACTTTTCCCCCCCCTCCTCCTCACCCCCTGCCTGTTCCCCCCCTCCCGGGACGCGGCGTTCGCCCTGGAAAAGCGGAGACAGGAGCTCCATCACGATTCCCACTGGAAGCTGCAGAGCCAGTCGGGCACTCGGGGATGAAAGCACCGTAATGGGGAGGGAAGGAAAATCAGGATGGCAGCGCTCCTTCATCTCCTCCAAAGGCAAACACACGCATGCAGATGTCACCTCCGGGGGGGTGACAGCTTCGCACCCAGCGACACCGCAGGGATCACCTCGGTCCCCGTCCCACCCGGCCCCGCACTTAATTCACCCCACGGTTTGATCTTGGAAGGGCCGGGGGAATTCGGAGGCGATTTCAATCTTTAACAGGTGTTGGGGAATTCCCACAGGGAATCAGTTTTTTGCCGCAGCGCATTTGGGAGGGAAATTCGGAACAGCTGAACGGGCGATGGGGGAACAGTGCCAGGCAGACACCAGGCAGGGGGTTCGGCTGCCCGGGCTCAGATGTCTAACTTTTAGGTGTCTAATTGTGAGCCAATTGCTCTAGGCTCCCTTTACAGCCACGGAGAGGGAGGAAGCAGGCGCTTCCAGAGGGCAACTCATCTCACCCCCGAGATAGAGAGCACGGAGATGAATCACCTTCTGGAGACACCTATTTCCATCAGTGACTGCACAAAGAGCCCGGGGTGAGCAGGTCAGACTTCAGCCTCAGAGTATTGAGTATCTAAAATTAAGATTAATCTCACCTATGCTGAGGATTTTAGCACCCCAGCTGATAAAGCACAGTGCCACCAGAGACTGGGAGAGCAGGCAGGATGCTGAGAGCCTTTCAACGTGCATTTTCTAAAGGCTGAGAAATTAGCCTGTTCAAATCTCTCACCTCAAACAACCCACGAAGTTAAAAGATTTACCTGAGTGCTGGTAAAGAAAAGAGTGGCAACAATTACACAGCTATAAACAGTACTTGACCCACACGCTGTAAATGCTGCAAAATGCTCACCTGCACCGAGGAGGATGTGGTTCTATTAAGCAAACAAGACATTCAGCATCAAATACACTCCTCAGGATTTCAATTGACTCTAGAGACTCAAGCAAACACCAAGCCACAGCCCTCACGCTGCTGTTCCCAGAACCACATTCTCCAGAGCTCCAGTGGTGGGAGCTCACTTAAATCACCTTTTCTCCATGTGCTGGTTCCCCCTGATTCCCTCCAGCTGTGCCCACCAGCACCAGGGAGCAGAGACTGCCCTGAGCTGTTCCCTGGATCCCGCTGGGATGCTTGCTGCTCCCAAGGCACTTAAAAAGTGCTTTTTAAAGGGAGCAGGGCAAAGTGTGAGCAGGATGGCGAGTTTTTGAGGCTCCGAGGGCACAAACAGCCCAAAGCATCGGAGCATCTCCATGGGAAAGCTAAGGCTGGGTAGCAAAAGTGAATCTGTGCTGACTCAGACAGCTCCAGACTCCAGGGGAAGCTTTCACTGAGCACTCAAGTGTTTCATTTGGGTGGAAACCCCTGGGTTATAAAAATGCCTTCCCTTTGTCAGCAGTGCCTCAGAGAAACCCCATCCCCAGGTCCCACTGCAGCTCAGAGTGTGATGTTCCCTTCGTGTGGGGCAGGGA